TTTATAAAGAAGAAACAATATGAAAACTTAAAATGCAAACCCAAACACTATAAACACGCGGGTTGTTTTAAAGCACAGGTTTGTGCTGCTAAACCCAACGAGGTCGCCGTGAACCCCCGGCAGATACAGCTGGTCTGCTGCGCATTCTGCAGTGCATCGGTAAGAAAACATTGGACTGGAGCTGCATGGGAAGGTCATGGACTCCGATGTTTCATCACTTAATATGCCTATTGTCTACATCAAAATCACTTGGCAGAATGATTAAACACAAAAAAAATCCGACTAAGAAAAACCATCAAGTTATGCATGAAAAATGAGATTATGGCATCAGAATGAAGGTCACTGGCAAATATGCTGACCAGGAAATCACTTCAAAGTTAACTACAGTAAATGTGGCTTGGACCTGTTGCTTGAAAAATATGTATTGTCTGCTCATGTTACATATCCACTTTTTTTATGTTTACACTCCAGAATTCAGGCTGAAAGGGCAGAGAGAGAGGTGACGAGTCGTAACAAGCATGTCTAATCTGGCAAAGAAATGAGCCCCTCCACATTTGGGAAACGGCTTGGGAGATGACTGCCACTTTATCCTGGACTATTATATGCATACAGTTACACATATGTAAAAACAGGAGTGGAAAACTAAAGCAGCAGTTAAGCCATGAGAATATGGTCAGGTAGAATAAAAGCTCACTGAAATAAATAAATGTAATAATCTTACACTACAGACATGCATAATGCGTAATGCCTTAACACAAAATAGTAATGCCTCAGAAGGGTAATGTTTCCATTTTCTATACCGATAAGGGCTACCAATGCACGTGACTTGAACAGCTATGACTTCAGATGTGTCTTACGGCCTGTCAGCAGGCAAGAGTTTGATAGAGTGTTAGGACACAGAGTAGAAACAATTGAAAAAGGTACTGTAATGGCAAAACCAAGGTAATACACCGACTGCGCTGGGCAGCAGAGGGAACGTGCGTCCCAGCGTAATCCAAAGTGTGGTTAGAGGCAGTCTAAAGAATAAGGTGGTTATTGTACCCTCACTAGCAAGCAGTCGCTTGCTCGATGCAAACACTAGCAGGCAATTCCAACCCCTTTAGATGCTATCAGCACCTCCTGTGGTTGCCACCACGATGCTGAGCCCAAGGCAGGAGAAGTAATTTTATTTTATATTTTTAAAATAAAAGCATCGGGAAATCAGACAGCAATCGCATTTTTACATTACATTGACCCTCAATTCAAAAGACTAAAAATAGTGTTTACATTTCTGGTGCAAAAAAGCAGTTTCATCAGAAATTAATTAAATTTCTCACTGACAAGCTGAAATACGTGACAGCATTCGGGAGTGCTGCACCATTGATCCCCTCCATCCGAGAAGGTCAGGGCCACCTTCTGCTCTAGTGAGAACCCCAAACCTCATCTCACACTGGGAAGAAAACAGTGCAATTCAGCCTCTTGGTTTTAGTCTACGTTCCATTTCTATACTATATTTCAGTCTAGCAAAACCCAACGCTAGCAATAGCTGCTGCATGACCAACCCTAACTCTTCATGAAAAGTGATTTCAAAGTTCTTTCGTCTGTAAGTCGTCACCGCCCCAACTAACGGGGCAGACCCCACCGTTAGGTGATGGCTGAGGACAAGGCGGAGGGACCCCACACCCTAAATGCCTACAACCCCAACAGCAGCAGCAGCAGCGTCTTCTCTCAGCCCGCGCGGCACCGGCTGGGCGACTCACGCGGATCGAAGCGGGGTGCCTTGCTGTCGCCAGCTCTTCTGCGGATGCAGCTCCTCTAGAGAAGCTGTTGAGCTGCCAGAAAGGTTCCTTCTGGGACCGGGGATCTCCCCCAGGGCGCCCGCTGCTCCTCTTGCACCCTCACCAAGAGGTCCTCCCCCTGCTCCTCCTCTGTGTCTGACAGTTCATGCAGCTCATGGCATGCGACAGGGCTTCTTCCCTCTCCACAGGGAGCTGGTTAACCCTTTCATTGGAATGACAGCAATACCAATTTTTCCATCTAAGGAGTCCTGGTGCCTTTGCTCTCACTGCTACTGCCCCGAGTTCAGCTGAAAATAGCAGTATACACACCCTCCGTGTCCGTACCTGACGCTTTCTGTCTCAGCTTTCCCTGCTAGACAGCTCTGTTTCAAAAATACCCCTTACAAGTAATAAAGTGACCTTTCAACAGCTTCTCTGCCATTACTTACTCTTCCAGATAAGCATTATTTTCCATCTCTCTAAAGTTGCTAGTACACGACCAGTTTTACAAAGTTATAACAACTTACCATATAATCCTCAGCTATGTAAAGGTTACTGCCACAGAAAATTAGTTGGCTCAGGCTTTCATCAGTGTTTAAAAAAAATGACTACTTAAGTCTGCAAATTGAAATATAACATCTAATTAGGAATCCTCTGATTAATCATTATTCTTTGCCATCTTGGATATTGCTTTGATAAATGAGGCTTAGGAGTCTTACGAAGTCTTAATTACCAATATTCCAGATGGCTAAGAGTTGTACACAGAGTTTCTCTGGGTACGTGGAGCAATGGAAGACATCTATATTATTTGTGGCTCTAAATGCACACACATATACCCAGGTCGCCTTACATCAGCTAACCGTGATGGCAGCTCCACGAACAAAGGAGGCACACTGCTCGCGCAACGCCTGTCCACGGCGGAAGGTAACACACCCTACACTTCTCATGAAAGCCGTTCAGTACCTAGGGTTACAAGACCGGTATCGCATTCAGGAGACGAGGCCCCAGAGCCTAAAATTAGAAGAGACTCCTGTTGTCACCATGTGAAGCTTTAGAGCCCAAGGAGATGTCTCCTAAGCTACCTACAAAGATGGCATTTAGGGCACATCCGAAGGACTGCGTACCTGAATGGAGCCAACAAGCCATTTTGCCAAACGAAATAAACTTTTCCTTGTACGGCAGGAGTGAGTGGAATAACAATGTGATAAAAGCACTGTGGAGTAACGACGTGGAACAAGCAGCCATCCTCATAAGGATTCAGGCAAGCAATTCCGCTGAGCCATCAAACCCATGTCACTTCTTTGAGAAGATGTAGCATGCACTTCCAGCCAGCCCATGGCGCAGAGCGCGATGGCCTGCAGCCAGTAAACCAGCAGACCCATCTCTGCACACACTCCCTTCCCTATAGCGCCATAGGGAGCTGCTCCAGCCAGAGCCACGAAGCTAACTGCACTGCTGAGCAGCTTCTGATGGCTTTTTTTTTTTTTTTAATTATTTCTGAGTAGCTATGGGTTGAAAACAACACTCTAAGAAGCATTAAACTACCAGAAATCAGGGTTGCAGTCCATTGGGAAAGATTCGGCTTTACCAAGTTACACATGTCAGCTTGCAACAGTTAACACAAAAATGGGATAAAGCTGCTTCCCCTCTTCAGATGTGTTCCTCCTGCTTTCAGAAAGTCACGGCATCTCTCTCATTTCCAGCAGGGACATCCTCCTGTGTCTTGTGATACTGACCTCAACTTTTAAACACAGACTCCCGAATCATTTGCAGCCTCCCTCTCCCCCCAGGTTAGCACCATCACAGCTGGTTAGCACAGCAATCTACAACAAGAGCACCAACTTCCCGGCATCCCGGTCTTCAGTGGTGGGAAAAGACAGATATTGAACAACACAAACTATACCTATAAAAATTAAATTGCACATAAACCCGTCATCTGGCACGCGCGAGTGTTTGGGTAGCTGATGAAACACCATCTCTATATCCAGCGCGAGCACACAGCAAATCAGAAAAAGCAATTCTGACCTCGAGCAGTGTTTGCCGACTGCAGGATTTCACAGAACCGTATTTGTACTGGCTTGATTCGCTAAACCTCTTGGAGAAGGCAAGTGGTCTCAAGTAGCTTTCAAAATCAACCGGTTACTACTAAGTTTCATTTGGGAAGATTTTTGCTCATGGCAAGTAGTTGGATAAGAGGAATACAAACTAATTTTGGGACCACACTTTTGGAGACTGAGAGATGGATCCACTCAATATATCTACTATGTAAGCCTAACTACTCTTTCTACCTTGTAGGTCAAAGAAATAAAAGCAACCTTAGCTGTAGCTAATCTTTGCAAATTTTAGTGCAGCCTCCTTCCCAGGATTACCCACTTCACATCCCGAGTGTGCAGACTGCATCTTTTGGTGATGCACGAGGGCCAAACCACAGAGCTCACTATCTTCTTCTGTAGCAACCAGATGGAAAGAAGTCCCTGGGAAAATCTTTGACAAAGCAGCCTGTTTAACATAATCTATCCTGAAAAAACCCTCCTGTAACTCTTGGTTTCACTTAACCAAGTAGAACAGGACATACCCACAGCTGCCAAAGCTTTTGGCAAGCCTCATTCCTCTGCAGTCAGTGATTGGCAATCCGAGAGCATCTTACAGACTCAGGAGGTTTTTTCAGGCATTCGCAGTACAGCTCATGTAGACAAACACATTTATCGTCTGCGGGTGAGAATGTCGGAGAGGGTATTTTACTCAGTGTAGAGATTATTTTAGATTGACTTCTCCTCCAGCCTAACCTCACCTGAAAATGCAGCAAACCCATTTCCACGGTTCCTGCCTGGGGATTACCAGACCTTGCAGAGTTCCAAAACGTAGATATAAAGCTCCTCTGGCTGACTCCAAAACTAAACATTGCTATCTTTTGCCTTTTATATCTTCAGATAATTTGTTACACATACAAACAGAGAGAATCTGTGCTGAAAATCTGAATCAAACATCCTCCACCATGTAAGTATTTAGGCTGTAACCCAAAAGTTAGTCCTTTTAGCTTTGTGGGAAACTTCATCAAGCCTGAAAAGTCCCCATTTAGGAGGCAAGACTAGAACAAAGATTTTTCCCTGCTCATTCTTCCCAAGTTTTATGTATTTTTGGCTGATGGAGACAAAATCAGCAACAAAGATTACTGAAAATATTTTATGCAGCTGCAGTACAAACACAATCCAACCGTGGAATTGCAAGCTTATAAATAAACCTGCAACAGGTTTGCGTAACCCAGAGCTCAGATACCTCAACTTGTACAACACACTACACATTCGACAGTACTGACACCTCATCGAAATACGTTTTTAAACCTTCAAATTACAAAATCCCAAGAGAAATGAAGGACGTTTACTCACACAGGTTACTTTCCGGTAAATTTGAGCAGCATTCTGGCATTCTGAGTAAGGGTATTCTGAGGTAGCCATTTCCAACATGCACATTCCAAAAGCATAGACATCCACAGATTCGTCGTAGTGTTCCTCGTACATTTCCGGGGCCATAAATTCTGGTGTACCTACACAGACACGCACAAAGAGAAAGGTAAATTTCTGATAAAGTCTAAATGGCTTTAACCACAGTCTTTTTCGCCTATAAGAAGTGTGCCCATTACAGCTGTGTAAGGGTGCATGCAAGATAATTTCAGAAGAGGGAAGTAACTAGGAACAAGCTCAAGCATCCTCCAGGGAAGAAACCCAAAGTCCACACACACGCTTTCATACCCGTGGCTCGCTGGTAATAATACAAGGGGGAAGAGGGGAAAAAAAGAAGTATCAAAATTTCAAAAATGAACAAGAGAACGAGATATGGCACACTGCCTGACCACACTGGAAGTCACAACATGGTTTCTTTTTCTGGGTGGGAAGAGGGATGCGCACAGGCTTGTGGAGGTGAAAAGGAGAGAAGAAACGAGAACCTTCACTCGTGTTTTTGTCAATGCAAATTTGCATTTTTTTTTTCCCTCCAGAGATACACAGCAACCACCCGGCAGACAGACAGCACTTTGAAAGCAAGTAGGATCGCAAATCACCTACATAGTCATGCACAAAACATTACACATAATTCTGTCACTGGTTTAGTGGGACAAATCAACGAGGCTACTCACAGAATAAGGTCCTACTCAACAGGGATCAGGGTGTCAGAAATCTGATGCAACCGGATAAATATTAAGTGAAGCACCGTACTTACTGCTTCATAACGGGAAGTTGCAGCTTTATGACAAGTGGCGACTTACAACGCCTGCAACGTTAGCACAGCAAACTACTCTGAAAAGTGTGGTCTTATAAAGCAAAAGGGAAGAAAATTAACACTTAGGTAATTTATTCCAGGAACTGTATCTTGTAACGTAATCTACGCTTAGGAGTCAAGACTAATTTCCCTCCTTTTTAAAAGATGAAGGAAAAGAGACCAATGCAGTCGTGTGTTGCGGGAGAGGACCGGCGAGCCGCGAGCACCGGGATGCCAAAAGGAGTGCGAGAGGTCTCGGACCACGTGAAGGACCCGGACAGACTCTGCCCGTCGGGCCCAGCAGCAGCCGCCTCAGCACCCAAACTGCCCCCCGGAGCCCTGCGGCAGCCTGGCGGGTCTGTTAGGTTTTCGTGATGACAGCTCTACATCAGCAGCAGAAGCACACCTGTAACTAAAGTAACACATACCGGGAAAAAATAGTTCTCGTATATGTTTGAGGACTTGACGTAAGCTTTTTTTTTTAACGGCAACATAAACGACGTCTCTCAAAATCAGGTTCTGTCAGTAAAAACTCTGCTTCTGCATGTTTTCTGAAGTAGACTTGGCCTAACTCACAAAACAAGCCTCAGCACAAGCATTTCCGTAAAATTCATTTTGCAAAATTCGGGATCGATCCCTCCCTTTGTTTATGTGCCTTCCACCTCAAAGACACTCGTTCCTTCAGCCTTTGTACATCAGCCGGACCCATGTGGTGAAAGCTTAACTTAGCGCCTGCTCTCGGGGTTTTTCTCCCAGCTGCCACACAGGCGGCGGCTGCTCTGAAACGGTTAACAGCCGCCATAGAGAACGTTGTTTGGAGCTGCTGCCTTGTTTTAGAAGGAACAAGACTCAGAGGCAGGAGCGAATCTCATGAATTATGGAGCATTTAAAGCAAATCTGAAAACGTGATAGCGACAGTCTAAGAAACAAATGACATTCTTGACACCATTCCAAAACAGCACGAAAATGACATTTCCCCCCCATCCCTTGGGGGTGGGAAGGAATACACACAAGTATCCTTAAACAAAACAGACCACCTAAATGTAAAGCCGCTCAGCATCTATTCAACTCCTCTTGGCAGAAGGAGTTTTGCCCTGGCTCGGCTCCCTGCAGAGATACACTGCAAGGTCAGATGAGCATCAGCGATGGCACCAACGCAGCAAGGGAAAAATTGGACCTCAGCCATGCTGACTTCATTCCCTTCAGACGGATGTAAAACTGCAGCTACTAATATTCCTTTAAAGCTACTACATCTACGGAGGGGGCAGAATTACTCATCTCGCCAGTGCTTCCAAGCCCTCCTAATTCCTTCCTTGGAGCAGCACTACTCATGAAAAAGATAAGCTCGGTTATATTGCCAAAGTGAATGCAGACACCTTGCCAGCGACCTGCAGCCCTTTTCCATATTGAATTTCTTTTAGACACGAGCGTGCTTTGACAGCGCTGTGGTAACAACTGATTTTACAAAAACTTGTATTGGTATTGCTGATATTATTCCCCATATTGGTATTGCTGATATTATTCCATCACCTCCCATGAACAATTGTTATACTGCAAAAAAATTATGTGAAGAAATACTGACCCTCAACAGAAAAAACCCCACCAATTATTAGAAGTTAAAAACTAGAGAAACTTAACAGATATAAACCAACACGATTTCACTAAAATGAACAGGGTTAAGCAGACCCACAGTAGCCAAGCACATATCCAAAATTTCTATCATTTTGACTTCAACGATACCGGGCTCCCTGAGCATTGAGGTTGATGTTTTAGGGATAGCACTAAGGTCAATACTTTTGTACAAATAATTGTAAAGAATTACAATCTCTGAAAATCTGAGATGCTAAAATAATTATTTAAGCAACTACTGCTTGAAAGACAGGATGCTGTTTTCATATCTAGTAAGGGAACAGTGGTTGTCACTATCAGTTTGCTAACTCTAATTACCTAGAATCTAGTTTCCATTTATATTGTAAGCTGAAACACAACTACGTGCATGATAACTTCCCCCACTTTCAGCATCATTTCTCAGGAATCTGCAGCTTCCTAGAACCATCACCTACAGATCTGAACAAGGGAGAGCCGCTACGGAAGCTCGGGTAAAAAACACAAAGTGTTTGAGAATTCAGGAAAACATTACACTTACACAGAAAACATTAAATGTAGCTTTTGCAAGGAAACGACGTCCTTCAGCAGTCATTCAGAAAACGTCCTCCCAGTTCAAGCAAACCCAAGCTCTAACACTCCTCACGCGGGCACCACCTAGGGGCATCAGCTATTGCATATCCTAGTGGAAATTTCTTTTAATTTCGTACCTACTGATTTTTAATAAATTGCAGGCGTCGTTTCAGCAGAACTCTGCCAGGACAGCATCGAGGCAGGGATGAGCTCCGCAGCTGCCTGCAGAAGCAGCCTGTTTTGCTGATGCCCCAGTAAACGGGGATGAGGTGTTCCAGCCAGGCCAGCTCCCCTACGACCTCTCTGCAAAGGAGAGAAGCCCGGCTCCGCAGGACACTACTGACTCTCCCTTCAAGCAAAAGTAACCCTCCCTATCCCAGCATCGCTGGAAGCAGAAGGCTTCCCGGGGATTTTGCCAGGCTTTTGCCGCACTCCCTTGTTAGGGAGAGAGCAGGGCATCCTTTCTCTTCCCTCTCCTCCCTCTTTTCTTCTCCCCCCCAGCAGGCACTGAGCCTGCTCTCTGGAGGACGATGCACACAAGCCGCTGAGAAGCCTTGCTGCTCCTTTTAAAGGAGAGAGGAGAAGGATTTGTGGATACCAGGTAGTATTTCAATTAAAAAACAAACAAAGAAGTGTTCTACCATTGTGATACACAGGAGGAAGGAGAAGAGGAAGTCGTGATACCATTTCCTACTGACTGAGATTTTTATAGTGGTATAAAGGGAACAGGCACAAAACCACTTTAATCTCTACCACCAACCTACAAGTGAAAAAACCACTAATGCAAAATGTGAGAGAAAGATATTAAAAAGACAACCACCATACCAACAGGAGGAAGCCAAGGAGAACAGGAGGATTACCTATTACGCTTTTGGCAAACGAAGCTCTCTTGAGGGTTGCCAGACCCAAGTCTCCTATTTTCACAGATCCAGTTGGTCCAGTAATAAAAATATTGTCACATTTTAAGTCTCTGTGAATTATTGGTGGAGTTCTTGTGTGCAAGAAAAGAAGACCCTTGAGGATTTGCCGGCACCAGCTACGCAGGACTTTTGGTTTCATCACTTTAAATCTCTTCAGATACCTAGAGCACAAACATACACAGAAGTGGGCATAAAGAAAATGAAGTGTTATTAGAGATTCTAGGGGCTTTAGCAGCTGAAACTCCATTCTGGATAAAAGCCCCTTATTAGATGCCATAATAGCAGCTCAGAAATATCACAAAATTGAAAGAAATAGATCTTTTCAAAGGAGGAATTAGAGCATTCATTTTTAGGAAGGAAGATAATAAGCATTTTTGGTGCAAATACAACCAAATATTTGCAAGTCTAATAGTACAGCAATTCACTTCATGCAGAGAACAGCTTTAGGATATGCTTCATATATTCAAATCGGAAGAATACTGAAGTTTAATTTTAACCACAAGGCTTTGACCTCTGTACCACGCACCTGCATTTTTTCCATTTACCTAAAACACTGATTGGGAGGGTACATTTTGGAAAAACGTAAAAGCTGCTAATGCACTGGCAGAGCAGCACGCTGGATGTATGCAGTGATGGGTACTGCTCCCATTGGGGCTGAAAAATCTGTTCCAGAATTCATGCCAACTGTTTTGTATCAACCTTAACAAGATTGCCAGTACCAAAAGCTATTAATTAACATTGTTTAGTAGATAACCTAGAGCACCTTCTGCTTCAAAAAGAGATTCTACCATTCAAGCGCTATTCTCTGAATTTTCTAACAAACCATGCAAATACAAGCACAAAAGCAATCACAAAAAGACACCCTGACAAAACGTCACAGGCAGAAGATGAAACACACCAGAGAACGGCTTCGAGTTGCATAACTGAAACAGGAGAGCGGGGAAAGAGAGATGGAGGCCAAAATTCTTCCTGTCAAATCAATGCAGTTCAAACGCAGGGACAACTGACAGACACCAGAGAACAGCTCCATTTTTTTCTTTTATCTGGAGATGCCTTTTTTCAGAATACGAAAGTAGGATTTTTCTAAAAATTTCCACCGCTATTCTTAGCCTCCTCACCAGGAGCGCAGTACTTACGTCTTTAGTGTTCCAGAGGTCATCAATTCGGTAACCAGCACGATGCATCTTTTGCCTTTTACACAGGATTCCCAGAAGTCATAAAATCTCACAATGTTTGGATGCTGTAGACCTTTCAACATTTCTGCTTCCTCTTTAAATCTCTGCCTCTCTACTTTTGTGAGTTTTCTGTCCTATAATCCAAAATACGACATTATTAGTAGTGAACGGACAAAAATATAATAAAGGCACTGCATTGCTAGGGTATTCAGAATTCTAGGTTTGCTTTATGCTTGTATCAAGAGCAATTATAAAATCTTTTATGTAAGAGATGAGCAGCGTGTATGAACTAGGGCACTCGCCTTAAATCCAGTGTCAAGACGACAAAGACTCGCCTCCGAACAAAGAGGTGTCTGTGCTACGCTACGCTACATGACAGCATTAATATTTCAGGCAACATAAACACACCCGTGGCTTGACGGATCAACACACGGCCATCTACATCTTGTTTTGGTTTTGTGAGGCTCGTTGTCTGAGAGATTAACACACGCAGGACTTCATTCCCAGGTACGAATGTCCTCACAGCTGAGCTGCTGCTGTCTTTACAGCTGTGGCTGCTCACCGCCTTCCCCGACTGCTCCCCCCCCCCGTAACCACGCTGGGCTGTACAGCCCATCCCATTTCTCTAGGGACGAATTAAAACAATACCCCCCTCCGAAAAAAACCACGCACATACATTTTTCTATTTCTTTGCTGTTCTGCCTAATCTTACAGACTTTTCTTTAAAGTTTAAGTTTAAGTTCTTTTAACCACATGGTTTAGTGGGCATGGTGGTGTTGGGTTGACGGTTGGACTCGATGATCTTGGAGGTCTCTTCCAACCTTAAGGATTCTATGATTCTAAAGTTGACAAAGGAAGGATTTAAAGCTCTCCGTCAGCCCTTTCTGTAGGCTGCACATTGGCCGCATGGAAATACGTATTCTTTTAGATTAGAAATGTGAGGAATGTCATGTTCTACTGCTCTGGTTTTCCTAGAGAAATCTAGGAGCGTTTACCATAAACTCCAGGCTGTGAAGTGACCCTGCAAGGAGCACGCAGAGCCCGTCTCCTCCTCCCCACCGCTCAGCAGAAGCCTACTGGGCTGCCTGGACCTCACTAGCAACACGGAGACCCCTACCACAAGCAGCTCAGAGGCACGCTCTGGCCTCTTTAGATGGTGTGAAAGAGCAAAATGGGAGTTTCACCGAAGACCACGCTGTCGCCGTCTGGTTTGTCTCCCCTGGACGGTTGGTTGGGCTGGGAGCACTTCCCTCCGCTGCCCTAGAAATGAAGCTTTTTCATTCTTCAAAAGGCACAATTGTGTAACTGTTCTTACTTACAGAAGCAGAGGCTCACAAATCACTCAGATTAATTAGTTCATATTTTAACCTTTTTTCAATCGTTTCCCTTTTCTCGGCTCACTTAGGCATGTTTATAAGAGCAGATACGTAGTGAATTAAATTGGTACCCAGCTGATTTGTAACCGAGTCGCAGAGGGATCAGGCCACTGCCATTTTGATAGCCTGCCCTCATCTGCGATCGCAAAGAACTCAATACAGGAATGAGAATTTCCATGGCTACAAACAAGTCAGCTTCACACAGAGACTTCACGAGAGAAAAACCCGGGTTGAAACGATGATGCTTTGGCTCTTCTTGGAAGACAGAAAACCTGCTTCCCCAGCGGTGTGCGTGCGTGGGGGCAGCATTTCCATTTTACGCCGTGGCTGCTGAGGAGGTTCTCAGTTTTCTGTACGTTTTATGGAGCAGCATCAGAGCTAACGTTGCCCCGAGCAACAGCAGCCATCTGGGCTGGCACAGCAGAGTGCCCTGTGGGGACCGATGCCCGGATCCCCAGGGGCAGCCGGGAGCACCCCGCGCCCAGCAGCGCTGCAGGGGACAGGCGGGGGGGGGG